GTGGTGGGGGCCATTCTCAAAACCATCTGTCTGTCCAAAGCCAATGTGCCTTGGCTCACACGGTACCTTAGAGCCGGGACCACTGTTCACTCCTCATTCTCCCTGACGCTGCCATTCGTCTGCAGTGTTTGAGGGGAAGATTACATTCTCTGTGTCCTTCGAATCTCTCCCTACTTTCTCCCTCTCTCTCCTTTGTTGTTACTGTATGTGCCCATAGTTATCAGGCAGATGCTCTGATTAAGGTCAGATTAGTCAAAATCCACTGCCAGAGCCTGGATCGACGGGGGCAGGGGGCAGGAAGGGACCCAGATAGGATCGGGGTCCCAATCCACATGTCAATCACCACAGCATTGCTACTTGACTGAAAACATCGAGTGTTTCCAGACTAAAGGTGACAGAAACTGAGCTACAGGTTGCCTGAGGCGTGATGTGTGGGCTGTGGCACTGATTTATCTGAGAAAAGCACAATCGTTCTGTGTGGTAGGGTCAGCCATGCAGAGATAGAGTGCCGGGCAGAATACTAAGTACAGGGATTATGTTGTGGAAACAACCCTCTCAGGAAGTGAACCAGGATGAAGCCAGCAAGGTTGGTAAACCAGCTGGCCAGGGTAGGATTAGAAACCAGCACTTCGGAAAGCTAAACTGTTCTCACGCTCTCATATACTCTATGTCTTTCTGGTCCTCCTTTTTGGTTGTCATTGCTGTTAGCTGCCGTCAAATCGGCCCCAAATCATGGAGACCCCAAGCACGATGGAATGAAACACCACCCAGTGCTGCACCATCCCCACGATCACTTGCGAATTACCATTGTAATCCATGGGGTTTTCACGGTTGATTTTCAGAAACAGATGGCCCGGCCTGTCTTCTTAGTCCGTCTTCGTCTGGAAGCTTCTCTGAAGCCTGTTCAGCATCATCTGACTTTTTTCCAGGACACTACTACACTGTCAGGAGGTTTTTTTTTTTTTTTTTTTTTTTTTTGCCTTTTTTCCCCCTGAATCAGACCAGCCTAATTGGTTTGCCACTAATTAGATTTTTCCTGTGTAGATTATTCTTTTTCCTCATGCCCTCATTTATCTCCAGCTAATAAGCTCTCAAATGACACATCATTCTTCCAACCCAGGCACACAGTTTAGAAGTTTGTGCAAGCCATTTTCAAGGGGAGGAACCCTCTTCTATTGGGAAAGGACTAACTGCTCCAAGTCTCATTTGCGCTTCGCGGTTAGAGGGCGCCATCTACTCCCTATGTCTTGGGACGCATGTCAGAAAGCCAGGAAACCCCGTGGGGTGCACCTAGTACAGCGTGTGCAGCATGGTCAGGTTACGACTCCAGCATATTAATTTGCCTGACTACTGCTCTGGAGATGGAGAAATAAAGGTAATCAAAGCATATTCATCATCCTCATTGAACTGTGGGATGAAATACTTATTTTGGAAATAATGATTCCAGGTAGGAGGGCAGTGAGAAATGCAGCCTATGAGAAGCGAGTATTTTATTATACAATTTCTAAAACGTGGGCACTTAATGCTCTTTCGTTATCACACATTATACAGTTCTGTAAAAATCATTTGTAGGAAATCAATCCCAAAGTTTTGAAGCCTCTCAAAAAGAGATCAAGGACAAGGTTTAGAAGAAGCCCTGAAAATACAGAAATTACACTTGTAGTTTCACCTGTTAAGACTTACTATGGCAGTGTCCCCACTACCTGTCAGTTTATCATACTGTGGTAGCTTGCATGTTGCTGTAATGCTGGAAAATATGCCATCAGTATTTCAAATACCAGCAGGTCACCTATGGTGGACAATTTTCAGTGGAGCTTCTGGACTAAGACAGGCTAGGAAGAAAGGCCTGGCAATCTGCTTCTAAAAATTAGCCA